TCATAGAATCAAGAATGCAATATGTTTTACATCACATTAGCTACTTGAAGCAATGCAATTAAGGGGAAAAAGTGATTGCGGTTCTTACATGCTTGAAAATGCTTTATATGTTTGCTTTTATTTTTAAATTTTCATTTGAATACACTTTACATGTTATGTTTATGTATTTTAATTTTAGACAATAGTTTTTTAAAACATTTATTTTAAAATTTAAGTTTATATTTTTTATTAACATTATGTTTAATATTTTTTGAATTGTTTTTGCATTTTTTAAAATTTTTGGCTTTTTTTTTGAATTTTCTGACTTTTTTTTTWAAAATTTTTTAGCTTTTTTTTTTTTAATTTTGCGCCTTTCTTAAAAAGGCGCTCGCCTCGCCTTGCGCTTTTAAAACACTGATATATGGTATTAGTGTAATGATAATTAACTAATTGTTTTTTTGATCTATCTGTCCATATTAATTTAGAATTTTTGTAAAGACTTGTTATAATGGTTCAACTTCTTGTAGTTGTAGCTCTAGGTCAAGAAGAAAAGGGAGAAGAAGAGAAGGAGAAGTAGAAGGAGAAGAAAAGAGAATAGAAAGAATAGTCAAAACTGGAGAGAATGATCTCTCACCCAATTGACCTATTTATTATACAGGTTTGCAATACATGTACAATGACTATGATGTACTTGAGTATGGGATATGTAGCTTAAAGTAAAATAAAAAGGTCTAATCACAACTCAATAAATAAGAACATAAAGACTAAAATATGAACATAAAGACATATACTCCCCCTCAAGTTGGAGAGTATATGCCATATAGTCCTAGCTTGTTACTTATGTAATTCACTCATCCTTGACTCAACCCATTTGTAAACAGATCTGTCCATTGATTTTCTGAGCTCACATGTTTTGTACTGATCTACCAAGAACCTTTTCTCTTGTAAAGTGACAGATAATCTCTATGTGTTTTGTTCTCTCATGAAAGGCTGAATTAGACGAAATATGAAATGCAGCTTGGTTGTCACAATAGAGTCTCATAGGACTGTTCACTGAATACCCGATCTCTTGTAGGAGGTTTTTCAAGCACACTTGCTCATAGGCAGTATGTGCCATGGCTCTATTGTTTTTTTTGATCAATGTGCCATGGCTCTATGCTTAGCTTTAGTTCTATTCCTTGCCATAACTGTTTGTTTCTTGCTTTTCTATGTTAAATTTCCTCCTAGGAAGGTGCAGTACCTTGTGGTGTATCTTCTACCAAATACCGAGCTAGCCCAATTTGCATCGGTATAACATTCTATTTTAAGGCTCCTTCCAGACTTATACAACAACCTTTGTCTTGGTGCTCCCTTCAAGTACCACACAATTCTAATAATTACATTCCAACGAGGAACCCAAGGGTTCTCGACAAACTAGCTAACCACACTAAGTGCAAAGAAGATATCTGGTTGGGTAATAGTTAGATAGTTTAACCTTCCCACTAATATTTTGTACTTGCTATGACCATCAAACTCTTCAACTGCATCAGTGCTCAGTTTAGCATTAGGCTCTATGGGTGTTTTAGCTAGTTTAGCACTCAACAACCCTATCTCTTTTAATAAGTCAAGAACATACTTCATTTGACACAAATTGCTACAATGCTTCGATCTAGCAACTTCTATACCTAAGAAATACTTTAGTTTGCCAAGATCTTTTGTTTGGAAGTGATCTTGTAGAAAGCCTTTTAATCTGTTGATCCCTAGCCTATCACTGCCAGTTATAGCAATGTCGTCTACATATACCACCAATAGAATTTTCCCAATGTTAGTGTCATGGTTGAATATTGAATGATCAACTTGACACTACTTCATCCCAAATTCTTTTACCACTTCATTGAATCTACCAATCCAAGCAAACATAGACTATTTCAGCCCGTAAATTGCCTTCTTAAGCCTACATATAGACTTCTTTAAGGAGATCACCATGTAAGAAGGCAATTTTGATGCTGAGCTGAAATAAGGGCCAATCATATATAATTGCTAGAGAGATCAATACATGAATTGAACCAATTTTGGCAACAGGAGAGAAGGTTTTCATATAGTCCACTCCATGCAACTATGAGTAACCATGTTATAATGGTTTGGCTTCTTGTAGTTGCAACACTAGGTCAAGAAGAAAAAGGAGAAAAAAGAGGATAGAATGAATAGTCAAAACTGGAGAGAATGATCTCTTACCCAGTCAACCTATTTATTATATAGGTTTGCAAGACATGTACAATGACTATCATGCCCCTACTTAAGTATGAGGACATGTAACTTAAAGTAAGATAAAAAGGTCAAATCACAACTCAATAAATAAGAACATAAAGACCTTTTCCTTGACCTTTACACTTTGTCAAACTTCAAAGGGAAAAGAATAAGTTTTTTGGGTAATCCTAGCCCAAGTGGGGTCAATTGGAATATGGGTTTCAGAAGGGGCCTGAGGGAAAATGAATGTGCATCCTTAATTCACTTGCTGGATCTTCTAGGACAAATTCTTTTGGACCCGTCCTTGGAAGATTCCAGAATTTGGAAAGGCTTCACAGATGGCCTATTCTCTTGTTCCTCTTTCTTTAATGTTCTTGCCTCACCTAGCAGCCCGGATGGGGACTTCCCTATAAAAGAAATTTGGAGTAAGCCTATCCCCCCAAAAATTCAAGCCTTTTGTTGGGAATTTTTCCTTGGTAAGTTAATACGTGTGATATGTTGCAGAAAAGAAGGCCTTTTGCTTGCCTTTCTCCTCACATGTGCTCCCTTTGTAAGGAAAAAAGTGGTGAGACCTTGACACACCTATTTTTATCTTGTTCTTTTGTGCATCTTGTTTGGGATTCTTTTTGTCTTCTCTTTGGTTGTAGGTGGGTTTCTCCTCAAGATGTGGCAGGTCTTTTTAACCGAGATTTTTTGAGGCAACCAAAGAAAAGAGGGAAGGTTGTGTGGAAAGCAACAAAGGCAGCTATTTGTTGGGTGATATGGGAAGAAAGGAATAATAGAATATTCTTAGAAAAGAGTAAAACCACGGAGGAGGTGATTGAAAAAATCAAAATTAAAGTAGCCCATCGGGTAAGCTCTTTGCATATCTTCCAAGAGTTCTCAGCTACAGACATTATAAGATCCTGGACAGAAGTAGCACAATCTTCAAGAGTGAAAGAGAGAGTAAGGACGGAATGGAAACCCCCAGATGGTAATAGAATTAAACTAAATTTTGATGGAAGTTCATTTGGAAATCTGGGATTGTCAGGTATCGGGGGAGTAATCAGAAATTCTGAAGGGAGGATATTAGCATTATTCTCTGGACCTATTGGCATGGGCAACTCTCTAAAAGCTGAGGTAATGGCTTTGCTACAAGGATTGAAGATAGCCAAGCAACTTGGAATGAGGCAAATTGAGGTTGAAGGGGATTCCAAGGTGATCATCTCTTGGGCTAATAACAATAGAACTACTCCSTGGACCTTCAAACAAGTGATAAAAGAAGTGGAAAAGGTTGCAAGGGAGGTAGTGGCAGAATTCAAATGGGTTAGGAGTGCAAATGGGCTAGCTGATCATCTTGCTAAACAAGGGGTTTTGAGGCAACAATTGTTTTGGGCTGCATTGTAAAAGGGACGGAAATACGTAATCGTATGGGACTTCTAGTTCCATACACAAAGTTGTAAAACTTCTTAAATCTAATTTCAAATAAAAGTTTCCTTTGATGATAAAAAAAAAACAAAAAGACCAAAATAATCCTGACTAGTTGATTCTAACAGGACAAAAGTGCCAAGAATAAAAATTGTTTCTTCTTATGAAAGCTAGCAATATAATTGTTATTATTTTAGTAAGTATGGTAATATAATTATTATAATTAACAATTCCATTCTACCTTTAATCTATAGTATAAATCTTTTTTTTTTTCAAGGTAGAAAAGGTAGCAGGTAAATATGCTATAATTGTTCCATGTACCACATTATGAGAAGGTGCAAAAAGGCAGGATAGGGGGAATGATGATATGAGGAAGAAAAAGTGGAATTAATATCAACAAAGATGAACAATGGACCAACATGAAATGAATTTGAATTGTTTTCCCTATTTAGACAACCATGTTTCAGATATTTTTAATTGTGATTCATATAAATCATTGTGCCAAAATCACATGAATTGTGAATCTGTGATTCAAATCCGTTCTCTCCTATAGGCAGTTCTGGGCACTAATGTATATAAACATGTGTTCGATAAATGCACTGACACTTTGGAGCTTTTTACATTTGGCACTCCAATGATTTGCTCCCAGTCCAGCTATTTGGAGCTTAATCTGCCTTTCCAGGTTCCCAACAATAGCAAAACGAATTTCATTCTATCAATATCATAGCTTGGGCGCCTCCTGAAAACTTGGGCTAATATTTCCAAAGCTGATTTGCACCAAGGAATAAGTGTATGACATTCTCTTCTTCCTTGTCACTTTGGGAAACAAAAGTTCTAAGCTCTAATCACCACTTGACACTTGAGAATTAAGTGTATGGCATTGTCGTCTTCCTTGTTGCACATAATGTCTTCGCTTGCTGTCTTCTTTAGAATATCAACCATCTAAGCTCTATAGTTTCTATCTAAGGATAGAAGACAAGCAAATGCTTTAATTCTTGGAGGAATATAATTTCTATATACTAACAATAGAATGCTCTACCTGATTTCTAATGAGGGCATCATTGAAGAGATTGAAAATTGGTGAATTCTCCATGTTTAACCAGAACTTATAAAAAAAAAAACTTAACTTTTATTATTATTTTTTTACTGCAAGTGTAGCAGTTAGATTTTGAAGATTTGAACTTCTCAAAGTTCAACCGAATTTTATGAGTTTTATGATTCAAAATTCTTTAATTTCAAGTAACACTACATGTCAACCAAAATCCAAATCCTTGTCTTTAGCCTTTTTTGCAATTATTCCCAGCAACTTAGATGGTGTAAGAGTTGGCTGTTGCTTGAGAGTATATTTTTGGACCTTTTATTTTGTGTTAGTATTTCAAGCTTTGGGTATTTTCTTCTTTTTCATTCCTTATAAATACTGATTGAAAAATGTGTCAGAGTGAGGGTCATCGTCAAATATTGACAAGAGAGCTGGAAGCTGTGGGCCTACGTTTGAACAAGAAGCCTCCTCAAGTAAGACTATTCTTTCAAGGATGYTTATGACTGTAAATTATAAAAAATAAGGGATGTTCATGGCTTTCAGCGTTCTCATTTATCTGATTTTATACCTTTGCGTATGCAATCTCATCTCTGTGGTGGTGATATATATTTATATCCATATCTTTATTTATCTGTATTTATACTTGTATATTCTTGCAGATATCTTTTTAACATTTTTTGCAGGCATCTGCATATGAGCACCCATTAACCATCACTGGTTATCCAGTTTTTAACCCATGTGTCTAGGGAAAGTATAAAACTATTTGAAGATACATCTGTCAGTGTACTCCTTCCATAAGAATAAGCTTATGGAAAGATTTTTCTTGGGGGGAGAGGGCTTTGTTTGGGCTTCAGATTTTCTTTGACCTAAGGAGGTGGTTTTCTAGACAATTTGCCTGATGCACTTGGTTCCTATTAGTTTTCCATCTACTGTTGGATCATATATGGGAGTTGAATAGGGAGTAACTGGTTTTCTCCAGTTCACTCAACACAACATTTGTTGAGTTTTTACTAGATTTTTGACAGATAAAACTTGGCATTTTGGTAATTAATTTTTGGTTCAAGTTCAATCTCCTGGACACCAAGCAGAGATATCTGTATGTGAAATATTATATCACTTTGTAGGTTGTAAGGATCTTGAGAATTCTGTTAACTTTTATATTTTTCTTTTCCCATGTGCAGATATACTTCAAAAAGAAAAAGACTGGGGGCATTTCTTTTAACAGCACAGTTCCTCTGACACATGTAGATGAGAAGCTTTGCTATCAAATTCTACATGAGTACAAGATTCACAATGCAGAGGTATCCTCCTATATTTGAATTCTGCTACATTTGTAAGTGCCTGAAATTTAATAAAATGGCTTATAAGAATATACTTAACTTGCCTTAAACCCAACTATTTATGGTGGGCTACCCATAAAAAAGATGAAGTCGAGCAGCATTTGAGATGGATTAGTAAGTTATTGAAGGGGTGAGGTGGAGCCAAAGGTGCTGTCACACAGGAAAGCCCAGTCAACTATATGAAACATGGTGCTAAAATCATTTTAGGTAGTCTAACTGCGAATCCGTAGTTGACCTAATGGTGTGGTCTTATCTAAAGGAGAGGTAAAGAGAAATGAGTGTTAAAGTGCTTCAGCCTAGGTGTCTTTTAGGTCATCAATTTTCAACTGAAGGCCTTGATGGAGCTGCTACCACTGTATGATATTAATTTTTAGCAAGCAAGATAGTATTTTTGAAGAAGACAAGAATCATAACGTTAATTTGGTGTAACAGTTTATCCTCTTCATAGAAATAAGAGGGGACGATTCACCATGCATTTACAGTATTGCCTTTGATCTTTACAGATTAGAAAGAAACTAAGATTACTAGAAGTAACTTGCGAAAAGAAAGAGTATATTTTCCAATGTTTTCTATTACCTGACCTATGATTAGTAAGAATAGATTAATACCTTTTAAAGAGTCAATAAATATAACCAGAGCTGCTTTGATTATTGCTCAACATTAACAAGTCTCTGTGGTCCAGGAATCCTTCAAAATCCCATCTCAGAGCAAAACAACTCATGTTGTCCCATAACTACCAACCTGAAACTTGTGTTTTAGTTGGGTACCTGACTATAAACCTGCATCTTTTTTTGGCCTTGGGTTGATTTCTATCACCTAGGCCTCCAGAGGAATGAATGTTCAAAGAAGGAACATAGCTCTGATTTGACTAGGAGAACTGATCATCCACATGGGAATCTATTAAGACTTTACCATTGTACTTATACTCAGCGAACCAATCTGGACCTCATTTAAGTTTACCCAATCTGATCTGTGGTAACTTGTCAAGTAACCTGGGTTGACATTGTCCTTTTTGTTATCGTCCCTTAGTCTCCCCTTCCCCCATTTATTCTCTCTCTCTCTCTCCCTCTCCCTCCCTTATCTGTATCTCTAATATTTTATTAGTAGGAAATTATAACCATTTTAGTTGCTAATAGTTTTTCAACATGCAATTTCTCTATTATATACTATTTATATTGTATTATTATCTTCGAAATATTGAAATTAATAGGTTTAAAGTGATTTGTCTTTTTAAATACAAGGATCTATCATGGTTTGGTATCAAATTTAATCTTATTTATTAAGGGTTTTGGTGTTTTTAAAATTTAACCTAGAACTTAGGGTTTTCTTTGTCAAAATGCACGAGTCCCTTGGTGCTTTATTGTCAGCCACCCAGAAGGCCAGAACTTAAATGGGATTTTAATCAAACTTCCAAAGTGCTGCTACAGAAAACTAATTGAAAACAGGACTCTTTGGCATCCCAAATAGATGTGTTGGCTAAAGTAGCACATTCTAGTACTAACCTAGATCTCAAATCAAACTTTTCTGTGATGAAAACAGTATTGGGTGGTTCAGTTTTCAGGAACCAAGATAGATGTCCCAACATTGAAAGAGATCAGTGGTCCAGATTGAAATCTGGCCTCAACAATTTTTAACAATTGCAACAATCTGGAATTGGTAAAATCTCTGGCTGAAAAGCATGACAATGCAAGTAACTCTCAACCGTAGGTGGTAATAGCAGGACTCGAATCCGCATATCCGCTGGGACTACCCAGCTAACATACCAACTGGCCACCACTCAGTTGGTATGACAATGCAAGTTTGAGCCTGAGAATGGCCACTTTGTGCAAGATAATGTCAAAGCTTAGGTCTATATCCAGTTCACCCTTCCCAATACCCCTGGGACCAACATTGGGCAATGGCCCTTTGTAACAACCTAGAAATGGCCAATACAAAATTTTTTTTTGGATAATTATACAGAATTAAAATTTCTCTGAACGTTTAAAAAAAGATATTGTCATCTTGGAGTGAATAATTTGATAGTAGAAGGGGATTCCAAGGTAGTAGTGGGCTGGTTGACAAGTCCAGAAACAGCTTGTTGGGGCTACAGGGATCTGTTAAAGAAAGTTAAATGGCTGACAAGAAACATGTCAGTCAGGTTTCAGTGTGCCAGCAGATCAGCAAATGTAATGGCTGATTCTCTGGCCAAGCAAGGGGTGTCAAGGGGAGATCTGTTTTGGGCCAATTTATAATTATGCTTCAGGCTGGTGTATGTTCAGTGGTTATGGTTCAGTCCTAGGGGGGTGGTAACACCTCGTGCCTCCTCCAAGGCTGACTGTATTGTTATTATTTGAATTTATAAAACTATTCTCATTTATAAAAAAAATTACATAGAAATCAACCAAGGAACTTTACCAATTAAAAAAAAAGTCAACCAAAGAACCTAATCTTTAGGCTATGTTTGATTTTCTAGAAAATAAAAGAGAAACAGAAAGACAAGGGTAAGTTCTTAAGGAATTTCACAAAAATCCTCAAGATCTTCCCCTCAACTTTTTGTTTCTATCTTATTTTCTATCAAACGAAACATGATATTAATCACTTTTTTCAATACTTTGTCGCAAACTTCAATTTCACCTTTCTATCGGATATGCATATCACAGATTCTCCATCAGGAAACTCCAGATTTAATTAGTAGACACCCAAAAACATAAGTAAAGCTATCCGTAATTCTTTTTAACCTTGTTCCGATACCATATCACCATAAGTGGATCAAAACTACTTTAGGGTTCCAAGTTCAGACCAAGAACAAAGAAAACAAGGCTAAATGGATGTCTAGAATTTATCAACCTCCATCCCCAAAGATTGAACTAATTTAGAGAGGCTTATATATAAAATTACGAGAATTTACTTTTGGACAAGTAAGAAGAAAATAGAAAGACAACAAAAATCTATCACAATCAATAAAAGACTATMCAAAAAAAAAGGAAAAAAGAAAGAAAGAAAAAAGAAAAAGAAAGAAAACAAATGACATAGTGCTACTGCTGTAGACTAGTACAGTGGGACAGCTATGTGAAACCCTTTCACAGGTTTAATAAGTCTTTCTTTTATGAAGTGTCTTGTGGGTAAAATGAACTTTTGAAGATAAAAACGTAATATTGAAGATATAGCAAATGGAATCCCTATATGAAAGGGCATTCTGAACCTGCTCCATTTAATTTGGCAATATCCTGGATGTTATAATTTGAATCCAATTTTTCATTCTTTGTACTATAAAGTGAGTTATATGCTGATAAATTCTCTTATAGGTATTATTTCGTGAGGATGCCACAGTGGATGATCTCATAGATGTTATTGAGGGCAATCGCAAATATATGAAGTGCATATATGTCTACAACAAAATTGATGTTATTGGTATTGACGATGTGGACAGACTAGCCCGTCAGCTAAATTCTGTTGTCATTAGCTGCAATCTGAAGGCAGGTTCTACACCTTTTTTTCTCTTTTAAGTTGTGTACGAAGACAAAAGGAATTAAAACTTGGTTTTGATGCATGACTTGGGTAATTACTAAAGGTGATTATGGAGTCAAGTTGACTCCATTGTATGAAGTTTCCGGTAACTTTGCTACTTGCTTACACAAATCACTTTTGGGGGTGCTAATCAAGATGGGGATGAATCTTCTTCTGGTGTTCAAACTCAAAATTTCTGGCATATCTAGATGGGATTTTCCATTTTCTATGTGCTTCAGCTAAGTATCATTAAAACGATTGTTTGATCTGTTAACAGTTGAATTTAGACAGACTTCTTGCAAAAATGTGGGAAGAAATGGGGCTTGTAAGAGTTTATACAAAGCCTCAGGGGCAGCAACCTGATTTCACTGATCCTGCAGTTCTTTCTGCGGTAGGTTCCTGTCATGTCCTTTTAAGTATTTATGATTTGGTAGGTAAGCATTTCATCTTGGAGTCTTTACTTCTGTTGGTATTGGTTTTCTGTGGTGTCTGGTTTTAGGATAGAGGTGGTTGCACGATAGAAGCCATGTGTAATCACATACACAGGAGTCTGGTGAAGGATTTAAAATATGCGCTGGTATGGGGAACAAGTGCAAGGCACTACCCACAACATTGTGGTCTTGCTCATTCTCTCCATGATGAGGATGTCATTCAGATTGTAAAGAAAAAGGTACATGGACTAGTTTTTGTCAGTTGATTTCCTTGTTTTTCCTTTTTCTTGTTAACTTTGGATCAAATTGTTTTAACCTAATTTTGCAACACTTATACCCTATTTCTGCCACATTGATAGATATGGAACCAATCCAATCTGTCCATCAGATAGGGGATCCTTTGGATTGGTCATGCATTTACTTCTTCAATCCATGTCTATCCTATACTCACACTGTTTATTGGGTTTTTCCCAGGTGATATTTTTCTTTTTGAAGAAGGTAAAGTATTACATTACATTATATTATATTGTATTATATTAATATGGTAATAAGGAAATACATCATCCAATGTACATTGAGAGACTGTTGTACATTGGGAATATACAAAAAGAAACATATGAAGAGCAATCCAAAGAAAGGCCCAACTTCCAAAAAAGAACTAAGTTGGAGACTTAGTTCCTCTGTACACCTAACCAAGAATAAAATATTCCTTTGATATTTCTATATATTTCCTCTATTTCAGTGTATTTGCCCCAAAGAATGTGCTGATTTCTATACCTTTTTCAAAAAATTGTGCTCCAAAACAAGACATTGTCATTTCCTATGTGAATTTGCAATTGATGAATAGATTGTTTGGGGATTCTGGGATGTCATTGCATAGAGAATATAAAGCACTATTCATAGGCTCCCTCTTCTTACCAGGCACCTTTCAAGAGATGCAGTCCATGCTAGGAAAGCTATTTTTGATGGGATGCAGTCCATTCTAGCCCAAGGGAAAAAACATTTTCCTTCTGGACAGTCAATTTGTTATAAAAAGACTGAACTCAACTTGCCTAAATTTTCCCATGACCAAATTCTTTTCATCATCCACCTTGGTATTAGTTTTTTTTTTTTTTTTTTGCTTTGAATCAGATTTAGCAGCCCAGATATTGGATTGATTTCCAAACTTTTAGTTTCCTTCTAAAGGAAAAACTCTAGATCATCTCATCATTGCCTGTTCATACTTCACAGTAGCACTCTTTATCAGTTACCACAGCATCTTTATCTTGGGTTTGATAAAAAAGGTGAAGGGAATATTTCTTGTAGAGTGAAATCTCCACACCATCTCTGATCATGTTGCCATTTTCTCAACTTATACATCATTCCTTTTTGAAAATCAGTAAGGACTTTTTGAATATCACTCCAAACTGCACAACCCATGGGGGACAAAGCAGGACCAGGGTCTAATGCAGGAGAACAGGTCTAGCAGATCTGTTCTAGTGATTTTTACAGAAAAATCACTCAAACTGTTTGAGAAATTCAAGAGAAAGAAAGAAAATAGATCGAATATCCTCTTTTTTCTTCTTTGAACAACAGCTAATAATGTTCTAATTAAATGAGGCGACCCTCCATGAGCTCCTTATTGTCTAGGCATCACTCTACATGTTAATCTACTTTGGTATTATCTGATTGTCATAGTTATGTAGTATATCCTAGAGGTAGTCTTTATTTTATATTATGGTGGATTGTTGTTACATCATTTGGTGTAGCAATAGAAGACATGCCCTTGCCAAGTTATTTGGTTTTTCATTTGATTGATAGCAACACATTTGTGTTTTATTGGATGGTCATAAGAAATTGTTTTAACTATGTGAACTCATGAAAACCAAATCACCCAAGTATGCATTCACTGAGTGATTTGGTTTATCCTTTTACTTATAGCATGTTAAGGTTTTTTAGAAGCTACAAGGAAGTGTTAATCATTATGTGAACTCATCCCTCAACATGTTAGGCTACCTTCATATTTGTTGATATTCCTAGTAAGGTAGGTAGTGTCCATATCATACGGTAGCAGGTAGTTCATGTATTACTTGGGGTAGCAACAACAAGCATGCACTCATTAGGTATTTTTGTCCTTCATTTGATTGATAGAATGCTTGTGTTTTATTGGAGGATTGCAAAAAGGTGTTGTTACCATGTGTACTAATAGAAACCAAATTACCTAGGCATGCACTCATAAGGTGATTTGGTTTTAAATTTGATTATTAGCATGTTTGTGACTTATTGGAGGCTCACAAGAAATTGTTGTAACCATGTAAACTCATCGAAATCAAATCACCTAGGCATGCAATCACTAAGGTGATTTGGTGTTTCTTTTGATTGATGGCATGTTAGTGTTTTATTGGAAGGCCACAAGAAAGTACTGTGTCCATGTGGACACATTATAACACACGTTAGGCTACCTTGGCACTTCTTGATTGTCATAGTAAGGTAGTAGACCTTAGAAGTAGCCTCTATTTTTTCATGTTAGTGGGTCATTTTTGTATTATTTGGGATAAGAAAAAGCATGCACTTGTTGGGTGATTTGGCTTTTCATTTGATTGTTAGCATGTCTGTCTTTTACTGTAGGATGCAAGAAAGTGTTGTGACCATATGAACTCATTGAAACCAAACCACCCAATCATGCACTCATTTAGTGATTTGGTTTTTTATTTGATTGATAGCATGCATTGATAGCATGCTTGTGTTTCATTGGAGGGTCACATGAAAGTGTTCTGGCCGTGTGAACTCATTGTTCAAAATGTTAGGTTGCCTTAGTATTTCTAAATTGTCATAGTAAGGTAGTAGACCCTAGAGGCAATCTCTATTTTTTCATATGATAGTGGGTTGTTAGTGTGTCATTTGGGATAACAATAAGAAGATGCTCTCATTGGATAATTTGGTTTTTCGTTTGATTTATAGCATGGCTGTGTTTTATTAGAGGGCCACAAGTATGTATTTTGGCCATGTGAACATATTGAAACCAAATCACCTAGGCAAGCACTCATTGGATGATTTGGTTGATAGCATGTTATGCTTTATTAGAGGGCCACAAGACCCTAGAGGCATGCCTTTCAAGGCATCAAGGTGAGAATAGGTGATGGGGTACCTTATTGCCTAGTAGCCAAGGCAATGGCCTTTTTTTTTGAATAAAACCATGAATCCTAGGACAATTCCCTAGGTTCCATGGCAAGTAACAATCTTTCACTATTAATTGTTTATAATCTTTCTCTGTCTTGGTGAATGGTGCTTCTTGTGGACGTTTTAAGAGCACAAGGGGACTGAGGCAAGGAGATCCACTTCCCCCCTTTTTTTATTTGTGTGACAGAAGCTTTGAGTAGATTGATGAAAAGGGCCACCTCTGGAGGTTTTATAAAAGGCTTTGTAGTGGGAGATGAAAGGGTAGGGATTGATGAAAAGGGCCACCTCAGGAGGTTTTATAGAATGCTTTGTAGTGGGAGATGAAAGGGTAGAGTTTTCCGTGCTGCAGTATGCTGATGATACACTTTTATTTTGTGATACTTCTCTCGAGCAGCTTAACTATGCAATGGCTGTTCTTTGGTGGTTTGAGGTTGTGTYGTGTTTACACATAAATCTGCACAAAAGCGAGCTGGTCATGGTGGGGGAGGTACAAAACTTAAAAAGTTGGTCAGACGAGTGGGGGTGTAGATCAGGAAGCCTGCCTTTGAAATATCTAGGGATGCTACTAGCCACAAAATGCAACTCCAAATCAGTGTGGGAACCCATTGTGGAGAGATTTTATAAGAGGCTGACCTCTTGGAAAGCCAAATACCTTTCTTTTGGAGGAAAAGTTACTTTATTGAAGAGTGTATTGTCTTCTCTAACTATTTATTTGCTATCTTTATATCCAATTCCAACTGGAGTAGCAAATGCATTAGAAAAGAAAATGAGAGATTTTTTATGGGGAGGGTGGAGATATGAGAAGAAATACAACTTGGTAAGTTGGAAAAAGGTATGTAAATCTTAACTTAAAGGGGGATTGGGTGTTCGGAGAGTGAAGGATGTTAACACAACCCTTTTGGGAAAGTGGTTTTGGAGGTTTGGTGAGAGCCAAGGAGGCCTATGGAAAAGGGTAATAACTGCCAAATATGGGCAGAACCCTGTGGGTTGGGAGCCCGGGGTGTCAAATCAGTCTTGTGGGTGGTGCTCCATTTGGAGGGGTATAAGGAAAGCATACGACCCTTTTATAAAGAGAGTAAGATTTAAGATTGGAGATGGCCATTAGGTAAAATTCTGGAGAAATGTAAAAAGAAATATGGGTTGAGCCTCTATTTTCGGCCTAGGGAAGGAAGAAAAGAAAAGGATGAAAAAGGAAGAATAAGAAGAAAATAATCAATATGTGTTGATCGGGCAAAATTTTGAGTTACCAGTTCTAGTTTTGAAGTAATCTCTATTTTTTCATATGTTAGCAGGTTGTCTTTGTATCATTTGAGGTGGGAAAAGGCATGCACTCATCAGGTGATTTGATTGTTATGATTTTCGTGTTTTATTGTAGGGTTGCAAGAAAGTGTTGTGACCATGTAAACTCATCGGAACCAAATCATCCAGGCATGCACTCGCTGGGTGATTTGTTTTTTCATTTGATTGATGGCATGTTTGTGTTTTATTGTGGGGTTGCATGAAAATGTTGTAGTCATTTGAAATAACCACTCTATATTTCTAAATTTTCATAGTAAGGTCATACACTCTACAATCTCTAGTTTTTCATATGTTAACGAGTTGTTAGTGTGTCATCTGGGGTAGAAACAGTAGGATGCACTCATTTGATAGTTTGGTTTTTCGTTTGATTAATAGCATGTCTATGCTTTATTAAAGGGTCACAAGTGCTGTGACCATGTCAACACATTGAAATCGAATCACCCAGGTAAGTAGTCATTCAGTGGTACTCACTGAGTGATTTGGTTTATGGCATGTCACACTTTATTAGAGGATCAAAAGAAAGTGTTGTGACCATCACATGTGAACTCATTACTACACATGTTAAGGTATCTTTGTATTTCTTAATTGTCAAAGTAAGGCAATGGACCCTAGAGGCATAGTTTTCAAAGTGTTGAGGTGAGGCTAGGTGGGTGGTGGTTTTTTTTATTGAATAAAAAACCCATCGTTCACTATTAATTATCGCCTAGTTGCCTACATGATGGGATTTTTTTGAATAAAACCATGAATCCTAGGGTAATTCCCTAGGTTCTATAGCAAGAAGCAACCATCTTTTGCTATTAATTGTTTATAATCTTCATAAATGTATAAGCTTTATTTGAAACACAGAAATTCAACATATTCATGGAAAAATGGAAGAAAGAAGAGGAAATTCAGAAAATAGAGGGGCTGTGCTTCTATTTCTGTCTTAGGAAAAGAAGAAAAGAAAAGAGAGGGTGAAAGAAGAAGAAGACAATGATGATAATGTGTTGATTGGATAAGTTTTGAGTCCTTCGAGGGTTCAAGTATACATGTTGATTGAACCCTAACAAATGAGAAAAATAATAAAAGAAACTAGTATTTTAACTTAAACTGAATTAGTTTAATAATATCTATTTTATTATTATCATCTCAAAAAAGTTAAGAATATAGAAGTATCCAAGAGCATTGTGTAAAAAGTATCTTGGTGATAAAGCAAGGTGACCCTCCATGAGGGCCTTATTTCCTTGACAGCTACGGGCCTGACACAGCTTCAAACCACCTTAGATTGTAACCCAGGTTGGTCAGCTGAACCATCACGGAAATATATAGTATCATCTGCAAATTGAAGTATAGGAACTTGCTCCATATTGTCACATGCTTTAAAGCCCTGAATGAACCCCCCTTCAACTGCCTGTTCTTCCATAACACAATTAAAGTGGAATGAGGGCACCTTGCTTAGGTTCCTAGAGATTTTAAAATTTCCACATGATGCTTCATTGGAAAGGATGGAAAAAGTAGGTGTGGTAATACATACCTTAATTCGACTCCATTTAATGAAAGCCCAAAAAAAGACGTATAGTTTGGGCCTCCCAGGAAGCTGGGACTTTTGATTCTTAGCCCACGAATGAATATCAAATAAAGGGGGCATGAGTCTTTTTTTTTTTTTGGAATCCCAACGAAGCTGTCATGGTGTAGACTGGAAACTGCTAATCAACTTGCTATTGATTGGGAGGCTTCAGAAGTTGTACTTCTGAACCCGTAGTGTATCTTAGATTCGTAGTCTAACCATTGCTGGGAAAAAGTTGTGATGTAATAGCGTGTACAAATCAAATGGGGTAGTGAAGATGAGATAATTATAGATATGCCATTCAATATATTGAATGAAGCCTTGCTTGGAACAAGGAGAGTTATTCCTTCAGGCTAGCAAGTTTTGAACTATTTATTGGAGAAATCCAACTATTGTTCTGTTGATTGGCATTTCCTATTCATGTCTATGCTCACTAAGAAAGCTAATGTTTATATCCTTCAGGAGAAGGAAGAAGGGGGGAGAGGTCGGTTCAAGTCCCATTCAACAGCCCCAGCACGAATATCTGACAGAGAAAAGAAGGCACCATTGAAGACTTGAGTACGCCGGTTAATGAGGTCTGCAATTGCTAGCATTCTGATTGGTGTAGAAGAATATGAGTGGCTAAAAGGTATAATTTATTTGCATAGGGTAATGTCATGCAACTTTTTCCTGCATGCTATATGCCGTCTTATCTCAAGATTGACAATGATTAAAACTGAAGAGTACATCTCAGGTTATCTAGTCGTGTTTCTGTAGGGGTAGATGGAAAATGGGTCTATCAGATATGATATTTTGGTCCACATGTTGTATCAAATAGGTTGAATTTCAGTCAACTTCTACAGATATGATATTTTTGTAGAGAAATTGTTATTACTGAGTCCTTCAAGACAGCTACTAGCTTCTACAGAGGTGTAGTTTGGGGTGAAGTTCTTTATTCCTATGTTATTATTGATGTTGATCCTTTTGTTGTATTAACTGTCAAATGAGTTGCATGTGCTGGTCTAGTCTAGAATGGTATACAGTATGAAAGCCATGAAAACGTCAATACTTAATAAGTATTCAGCTTCTACAGAGGCGTAGTGTGGGAGGTCCTTCGCTTTATGCGCATGGTTTTGTTGATTCCTTCTCTTAACCGGCCCTCCTATCGGTCATACCGAGTGCTCGTATGCTATGATAACTCAATTTTACCGTAAACTTCATTTATGCCCCCTCTGGGATTTGGATCTTTATTGGCTTAAGAGGTCAAAAATTTTCTTTTACGAACTCAGGCGGAAAACTTACCAACAAAGAGGGTGGGGAAGTTAACCTTTTAAAAGGCAACATCTATACCATAGGAATGAATATAGGATAGAGGCTGAGTTTTTTTTTTTATTTTATTTTGATGATAAGATAAGGCTGAGTAAGCCTTCTCTGGGATGATCTCTACGTTAAAATTGTACCGAATAGGGATAACGACAGGAAATCAGGAATGTTCTGAAGAAGAACCGAAGGCAAATGAATGAAAAAGTATGAAAATGGTTTGGGAGGGAAGTTCCATTGAGCGTCCATGCAACGCTTGATCTATGTAAGCCTGCAACTGAGATGGGGATCTCCTGAAAGAAAAGAACCAGCCATGCATCAGAAACATCTCCCAAAAAATTTAACATTGTATAGTAGATATTCCCGATTTGTGACTAGATGCCATACTTTCAGAGTGTTCTCGTGGCTTTTGCTTTGTATGGGTTAAAAAAAGTCACCCCTTTTGTAAATAAATGACTGGCTTTGTCATATAATAAGATATAATTGCAATTAACTAGTTTAATTCCATTGCTTATAACTAATCTTTTAGGCTATGTTTGGTTTGAAGGAAAATGTAGGGAAAGAAAGGGAAAGGTAGGGAAATCTTTACAAACTTTGTATTGGTTTCCCTGTCTTTCCCTTCCTTTCCCTACCTTTTCCTTCAAACCAAACATAGCCTTAATATCTACCAAGTGGTAAAATCTTGAACTGCCAACATGATAACACGGGTTCAAGCTTGAGAGTGGTCACTTTTTATGCAAAAAAAGTCAAAGGTTAGGTCTTTCTACTAGTAGAAAGGAAAGCATGTGCAACATGCTATGTAGCCCAATCACAAGTGAAGGCTCTAGGGATTGTTAATCAGATATATAGTATCCTAACATGGTTACTCTTGATCCTATGCGACTAGAAAAGGCATGGTACCCGAAAAACTTTAAACAATCAGAAGCCAACATGACCTTGAATGAATTCAAGTTGATTGGTTACAAATTGGATGATATCCGTTGATCGGTTATCCGTTTTTTAGGTACCATGCCTTTTTTGGTGCCATAATCGGACCTCTGTTCATTTAACCTCTCCATATTATCTATGTATGACACATAATAACTTATCATGGAATTTTACCAACGTGATTATGACTTATGAGGATTTAAAAATTTAACATGAATATAAAATGTAATATCAGATGAGCATAACTTACAATTTTTTTTTTGGAAGGGAAAGCATCCATTTTAAAAAACTCCCTGATCAACAAAATTTTGAGTTTTAAAATTATTCCCAATAATTGAATTTGAACGCTTTCCTGACCAAAGCCGAATCTAAAAAAACAAGTTGGCGAGTTGTCAAAAAGGAGGTAAGAAAAAAAAAAAAAAACAGTTGTGCCATCAAGAAAAGTTTGAAGGTAATTTTTTTAGCAGTGTGTAGAGTCTGTTCTTGTGTGACCCTCCTCTCCCAAACCCAGAAGGGAAAACAACAAATTAGCAACTGGACACGTGTAATGAGAAACCTGTCACAGACTGAATAATGCAAATTCACGACAAGTGCAGTGCAAATAGGTGCAGCAGATGCAGACGTCTGGCGAGGACATTTCCAGCCATTCTCATGTCTCCATCTTGAAATCTCCATATTCCTTCTCTCAGATATATATATCTCTTCAAGAAATCCCTTAAAAGTCATGTCAATATGCATGCGATACTTCTATTACTGGGTACATAATTTCTTTTAAGCCCCCAAAAGAAATACTCCTGGATGGGCGGTTACCAAAATTCTTAAACTGAAAATTTCTGAAAATTTTTCATCATAGAGAACTTAATAGCGTATTGTTGAGGATCAGCAGTTTTAATTTCATACATTACTGTACAATATGAATTATCAGTATCAACTAGAGATAATACTAGGGGTGTAAGTCAGGCTGAATTAGTAAGGTTGGAATCAACTCTAATCCAACCCGAGTTATTGAACCTTCAACTCCTAATCCAACCCGAGTTATTGAACCTTCAACTCCTAATCCAACCCAATAAACTTGAATTGGATTGGCCCGATTTCTTCCATCTTCCTTTTTTTTTTTTTTTGCTAAAATATTATTTAAAAAGAACTAAAGATTCGCAGAACAAGGTTAAATGCTTTAGCATTGTTATATGGACAAAGTTATGGTGCTTTAGGAATCATCTTAATATCATGCATAAATGTATATTTATATCTACAAACACGAAAACATGCCAAATTGAGGTTGGTTTTAGTTACCCAAAGCCTATCTCATCCCTATGTCAAAATGTTAAATCCAGTTCATACTTTTCAATACCATCCCAAACCTAAACTTCCACACGACCCAATTCAATTTGATTTTTAGGATGGGTTCATAATTTTTAGATTTAGTTTGGGCTAATCCGACCCAAATTACGTTCCTAATAAATAGTAAATACCAATTAGTAATTTGAACAGTTTAGACGTAATTTTTTTTAATTTTTCTATATAATCCAGAGTGGATTATTAGACAATTTTTTCAAGATCCACTAAATAAGGACCTTACAATAATCGGGCTTGAATCTGCTATCCACGAGCTGTTCCCACATCTCTATTCATGAGACATTATAGTTGTGCATTGGGAATATCTCCTTTATCATTCATAGGGAGATTTTTTCAATACACGGTAGTAGTGCTATGTGGGTAAGGATGTGAGAACAACTTGTGGGTAACGAGATCTGAGTGACAATAATCTGCAATTCAGAACTAAAAAACAAAAAAGATGGTAAGGTCGTTTGTGACATAAATCTCTGCCGTCACAGCTAAGTTGAAAACTTGAAACATGGTTAAGTCCCAAAAATTATCGTCGATCATTTCTTCGGTYTTTGAGAGGGAAAACTGAAAAGTTTCCTGTGACCAGCCTGCCAAATTGAATTTAATACTTACAAAACCGTTCTCATTAGGGGAGTAAAAAAATCGAAAACCGAATCGACAGAAAAAACCAACCAAAACTTAATCGAAAAATCGGTTAACCGAATCAGTTGGTTTGGTGTTTTTAAAAAAACTGAAAGTACTGGTTCGGTTTCGGTTAACCAATATAGAAAACCAGTGGTTAACTGAACCGACCAATATACATATATTTCTATATATTTATGTATATTATATGCATTATATATATATATATATATATTATAAATTAATAAATATGCATTATATATATATATATATATATAAATATACATTTACAATATATATTGAAATATTATTTATTATTTAAAATATAAATCTTTATATATTTATAATTTTTTATTATATATTTATATATATTTTTATAATATATATTGTAAAAATTAAAAAACTAAAAATCCAATAAATCAAACCAATCAACCGATTAACCAATAGGTTTTGGTTTGATTTCGGTTACCAATTTTCCAAAAACCGATACTATCAGATCAATTACAAAATATGCCCTATGATTCGAATAACGGAACCGTAAGCACCCCTAGTTCTCACACCATCCTAACGGCACTTTATAGTAATGCATTTGAGAATATCTCCCCAAAAATAAAAATATATAAGGACCGAGATGTTTGTAATGCACGATTTAAAAAGGCTGTGAAAACGGTTATCTGATGATCAAATCCGAACTCCAACCCGAAACCCTCCGGTAAATTTTGAACACGCCAGTGTTCAATGAGAAAGACAAAATATAATATCAAATTGGTTTTTAATTAAATAAAACAATGGCGTGTTCAAAATTTAGTGGAGGGTCTTGGATTTGTCATGTGACGGTGGTCAGGACTAAGGAGAAGTGATGAAAAGACAGAGAGAGAGAGATATGTTGATGATGATTAATAATAGCTTGTATACATTCAATTCAATTCAAATGGTATACATGCTTTTCACTCATCCATCATTCTCTTGGCTGTTTATGTGGAAAGTACGTGGCTTTTAAAATTTAAAATTTTAATTATTGGATGGGCTCCCTCGACTCCATAACAGTCAGATATTTACAGGTAATAATAATTAAATATTAATAATTACCTAGCTAGCTACATGGCTACATACATACATGTATCCATTCATTATTAGTCACCATCTTAAACACCTCTTTAAGCTTCAGGCCAGCAGGCCTCTGAATTCTGAAATCTGATCGAATATGGAGGAAACTGCTCTAAGCCCTTTAATGGCATCTTCTTCCCCTCCCACACTTTATCAGAAAACCAACTTGGTCCCGTTCTACTACAGCCTAGTGGTGATCGGATCGGCTGCCGTGGTTCTCGTGGCATACAACTTATTCATCATGGGATGCTGTACACAACTGCGTTTCTGGAGATCATCGCACCAGAGCCAACCACCCCAAGAAACAAGCCAGACTTTCCAGAACCCTTACTACTACTACTACAATGGCTTAATTTCAACATTCAAGTACCAGAAAGGGGAGAAGGGTGAACCAGCTGCTGCTTCCGACACTGAATGCTCGGTGTGCTTGTCAGTTTTCGAAGATGGCGAAGATGTTCGGCAGCTGTGTCTGTGTAAGCACTTGTTCCATGCTCCTTGTATAGATATGTGGCTCTACTCTCACTCCAATTGCCCACTTTGTCGCACCGCCCTCGAGCTGCCGGTTTCTTATCCCCGGAGATTATTGACAGAGGAGTCCCGACAAAGTTCGCCGAATTCCGCCAGCCCAGTCTGATTGACTCTTGAGTTCCTTTCTTCTCTTCTTCTTTTGTCCATCTTGTTCATGTATAGTTTCCTTCTGTAAAATAATTTATGGTGTATGTGGATCTTTGACGGAGTGATTATTAATTCTTTTCCTTCATAAGGCAAACTGATCAAACATTGTTTTTGTGTGTGTGTGTGGTTTTTTTTTGGATATTGGAAAATGAAATTCTTCGATTCTAAATTTTGCTGAAAATTCAGTTTCGGTATAGGCTGCAAACGGGATGGGATCAAATCAGACATAAGGTCGATTCAAATTTACTTTCATTTATATTCTGATTCAAATCAAATCTTATCCTTAAAATTTATACCCGATATTGAATCAAATTCGATCGGAACGAAAATGATCAAAATGTTATATATTATTAATAAAATGACTTAACTTTAAATATTGTATATCACGAACAAAATATGTTTAAAACAAATTTATGAAAAATTGATCAATGACCCTTGTTAAAATCACAATATTTAAACCAACTTTATTAATAGATAGAACATAAATTTTATGTAGTCCATATTTTACTCTATTATCAAAAAAAAAAAAAAAAGAACATAGATTTTAAGTATATACGTTTATATCAGATGGAATTGGTTTAAATAGGGGTCTAGCCATATTTGATTCAAGAGTTCGATTCTTGATAAATTCATTAATATTGGTTGTACATTAAATCTAGATTTCAACCAATTATATTAATTTACTTTTCATTCGTTTATATTTCATAAAATGTACTTGCCATTACATTAAACCAATCATGTCTATTGTTGCATGATGTAGCATATGCACTATACATTTTGCGTTAATTCAATTATAAAAGAATCCAATTTGGATCACCCTTAACCTGATTGAATTTGAAGTCAAATTCAGACAAACAAAATATTTGCAGCCATATTTCGGTAAGTTACAGTTTAATGTGGCCAAAATTTTAAATATTTTGATTTAGGGAAATCTGTGCTTCTGGAAATAAATGCACAGATAAATTTTGATAAATACAAGCTGATTGGTTACCACTTTTATGATACCAGTTTATTGATTAAAATAACCAAAAATTCTATTTTTAAGTTTTGAACTAGGGTTTTGTCCTTATGAGCATATCCACGTGTCCTAAAGACGAGATAAAGCCGGTTCCCCAAGATCCAACTTGATGATTTAGCCCCCTCTTCCAAAATAATAATAATAATAACCCTATACATGGACACTGGGATATAAATCAGATTATTGGAGGGGAGGGGAGGGCAGGGTGCAGTGACTCATTTATCTTGTCAAACTCAGGGTGGGTGGTTAGTGGGTAAACCAATACAACCTATTGGATTCATATATACTCACGCAGATAAGACTTTATTTAATAAAAAAACATCTAATAATAATATCAATTATAACACTAAATTAATAAAATAATCTGATGGAGCCTAAGCCTAACACAAACAACCTTTACTTGCTTCAAACTTCAAATTCAAGCCTGGACCACCTTTGTATCAACCAAAAGATTTAAAGTAACATAAGATATGCACTATGCAGTATTTGATTTGAAGGGACCCACATGTGGTACAGGTGGAATGCTGGGGTATCTGTATAATTTCACTTGTAGAGAAAATAAAGTCTTAATTGATTATTGAAATCAGTGTTTCTAAGTATTAATAAGTTCTACACTGGTTTAGTAAGTGTATCCATGCATTTATTCATTTATTTGTTAGTGTTATTTATGTATTCATTCATGGGAATTATAACTTATAAGAATTTCTAACGTGTGTGTGTTCGTGGATATCATACTCTTGTCCTAAGTGTATCCCAATATATATATATATATATATATATATATATATATATATATATATTAAAATCCTATGTTCAATACTCTTTATGATACTAAAAGCTGACTTTGCTTCAGTGTCACACTACCAAACCCATTTGGAATCGGATAACAGATAAAGATTAGTGGTTTACCTGAACCAGACCCAAACTGACCTTTTATTGGATCAGATCAAATGGACCAAGAAGTTCGCTCCTCTTGTTTCTACTTTCTACTTTCTACTGAGGTTAGGTTACATCACGCTGACTTTCTAATATATGTGGGCATGGCAGTTGCAGGTTGCAGCGCAGCGCAGCTCAGCTCTACAACTCAATTTTGTGCGTATTCTAATCATAATAACTGGTCATGTTTTGGATTTTACACGTACATTCTATCATCAATTCTTTTTCTTTTTATAAGACGGTAAAGCATCTGCCGTATTCGTTGCCCCAATCTTGATCTTGTGGCATATTTGGAAAAACCGAAATAATCAAGTGTTTAAAAATAGGGACTTGTATCTCCCCTCCTTGTCCTGTTAGGTAAAAAAGCCAAACAACATATTTGGAGTTTTTATCAGTGGGGAAGGTAGCCCATCCATTTCCCAAGTGATCTGCTTCTGTTGATTCTGTTATAAAAAATCAAAAGGTAATGGAGAATGTGACTCCCTCTAGGATATTGTTGTTCCAGCTTGGAGTTTCAGATCGATTATTGAGAATTGTTATGAGTTTTACACCGGGTCTTTGGTCTCAACGTTTACTACTCCCGTTGTTATATAGAAAAGCCAATGCAGCGGCCCATTGATTGGCTTATTGTGGTTACGCTAAGTCGCTAATCCTTCTGGTGATGATGATACATATTCGGGTGAACTTCGTTTTATTTGTTTTAGTGGTTTCTTGGTCTTTTCTTGTTTTGTCCCCAAAAAAAATTCTATAATCTGGACATAACTAGAAACCACCTGCAACCAGGTTCTGGCATTTTTACTTCACATGAATTACACGTGGTCATAAATTCAACTCTGAATTTCAGAATCCCAACCAAATTTTAGAATGCTATGCGGACGGCCCCTAACCTCTCAAATCCTTATAACGAGAGTATGACTAACATCCTGCTCCTAATATTTTCAACTCCTTCCTTTCTGTCTGATCATTATTCGTTTATGTGCTTTACCTGTATACTTTCCTCAGTAATGCTTTGGTGTTTTTCTTAAAAAATGGTAATACATCACACCTAGAGGCTTACACCTCACGCAACTAGAAGTTCAAGCGCATCGCCCTGGACTTCTGCATCTGTAAAACCATTGATTTTGATTTTTGGATAGGCTGTTGGCTACCTAGTGGACCTTGTAATTGACCTAATGCGATAACATGAACAGATCCATCATATGGGGTTTGATACACCGTCCCAGTTTAGGCCAATGACACATCCTCTTTCCAGATTAAACATCTCTGTTTGTCTTTTCCTAGTCCTTCAAACAAAGCATGTCAACTTGTACCAGTGTTTACATGCATAAATGCATGCATGGTCAAAGACTGAACAAAGAGAACTTAAAGGGGAAAACTTTCAAAATCTGCATAATCAGACATAATTTCACTCATATTACAAGAGACTTTATATTCTCATTTCACAGTAGAGCTCGTGCTTCTTTCATAATGAGGATAACACTTACATTCTTCTTAAATTGTCTAACCTTGCCTGTAGCTCATCATCTATCCCACTATCCTCGTTGCCTGTTGATTCAGCTTGGGCAACTTTAGTCTTTGCAGCTGGTGCAGCCACTGCTGCTGAGGGGGCATTCAATAACTGTACATAAATTAGATACAAAAGAGAGAGAAAAAAATTATTATCATTATTTGTCACTTAGGTACACTTGACATAAAAGAAAACCATTCTGCCCATATTCACCATAGAAACAAAGAAACAAGTGAAATGAAAGACATACCTCTGAATTGATGTCAATTCCTATTTCATCAAGCACCTGATTCACAAGCTCGTCTGATTCTTCCTCTTCCTCATCCCCTTCCAAAGCATCATCAATGGCTTCTCCCATTACCTCTGTTACCATTTCCATCTTCTCATTTTGCCTTTCAAATTCTTGCATTATTTTCTGCAACGATGGCAAGTTCATCTGTCTATTCATCTGCCCCATTGCCTTTGTAACACCTTTCATGGCCTCCCCCATTGCTTGTGTTGATTTCAATGTCTGAAAATTTTCATACATGTAAACTTTCAAACATGACAGGGATAGTTTATTGAAACTTCCTGTAACTAGTATTTGTGTGCCTAGTAAAAGCAACTAAAACATGTAGAAGCCCCTAAGAGACCAATGTAGGGTGGCGCATTTGCTAAGCAGTCACTGCACCTCTTTGTGTTAAGGAACTAATGCTTCTTAAGTTAGAAGTTGCTCTAAACATAAACAAGCATCTCTCTACTAACAAAGTTCTTTCCAAGTCTAAAGCTGGTAAAGAAATTCTAGATCCAGGCCAATAGACTTATTAGGGGTGGCCACGAGCCGAGCTTCTCATGAGCTATTCGAGCTCGGCTCATGAGCTTAGTATAATAAATAAATAATTATTATTATATATATAATAATAATTTTATTTTTTATGTATAATAGTAAATAATTTTTATAATTCTTATTTGTTGTTTGTAAAATAAAAAATATTTTTATATGTATAATTTTTTTAGAAAAAACTTGGCTTGTAATGTGAGTCATATCAGTTGTGCGAGGACCAAACAACAGAAGCTCTAACCTTAAAGCTGCCTGAGTACGATAAAAATCCAGCAGTATTATTTTTGTCTATTTATGGTACAAGTGAACCTTTCCTTCTACCTCATCAAATTCATTCAGCAATCTTAAACAAAAGAATTCAAAAATCATTTTGTAATCCCAGTTATAAGCTCTTTCCTGTTCTTCCAATGATATTCAAATTGTGCTCTTCCTGTTTCTTTCAGTGTTGCTGTTAATTCTCCAGCAAACACCATAGGTGGATAAAGCAGATCTGAACATCAGCGGCTTCTATTAGTGGGGGAAAGTAGGCACTAAAGTAGAAATTTAATTCAATTATGAAGGATTCTGGAAGTGGATGGTTTAACCACACCTACTAGGGACCCATGAGAATTAACCTTTCTTTTCTAATTTGGGTGTATTACCAAAAGAATGTAACTTACCTAGTCATATCATTCCAGGGAAGAAACCATACTTAACAGCTATACATTGACATCATAAACAATTAGCAATCCACAGACATCATATTGCTTACTATATCCAGTCACCAAGTGCAATAAAATAAAAAATAAGAAGCGGACAATAATAAGTAGGAAACTAAAAGGCAAGGAAAGATGATAAATCCCAGGAAGATACTTTATAACTTGCAATAGAAAAAAACAATATGTGCCAAATTTACCTGAATTCGAAGAGCAACACCTTGAAGTTGCGACTTAAGCTTATAAAACTTTTCAATTTGATGCCGCGTTCTAATAAGGTCTTTTGCCATTATTTTCACAGCTCCCTGAAAAAGAAAAGACCTCAATATCAGCAAATATTTGGTTCAGATGGCCATGAAGCTTTTCCCATTTGGTCCTTAATCACAGTATCACACTACTCACATATTCTACTGCACATTCTAAGGCAATGCTAAGTGACGGGAGCACCTTGTTGCCTAGGCACCCACCTAAATGCCACCTAGGCAATAAATTTTTTAAATGAGAACCTGAATCCTAGAGTAGTTCCCTAGATTTCATAGAAATCAGCAATCATCTTTCACTAATGATTACTAATAATATTTATCAAATAAGTATAAGCTTCATATCAAAACATAGAAAATAAACATATTCATGACAAGAAAATGAGGAAACAAAAGAAAACTCAGAATATCAATCATCCTCATCAGTGATATCGTTGTCTTTGTTTTCACATATGACAAAACCATTTATTCTACTTTTCCTTATTTAGTCACCCATTGGAACATTGTCCATTTCCTTAAAAAAAACTCTGATTTAAATAAGTACCAAGCATAAATCAACTTAAATCAAATGAAACCAACTCAACTAAGCCTCAAGTCAAATCAAACTTAAGTCTGATTTATCCCTCTACAAGAGGGAGAATGGAAATGCTTCCAATGGGGCAAGGGGCCTCAAGGAGAATATTGAAGGCTCTCAAATAGATTCCCTTTCAAGTCAGCAGCCGAAATGCCTTCATATTTATTTATGGCCAATGACCAATTATGTTTCACCATTTCATTTCATAAGGGACCACATCCTCTGTTAAGTTATTTGCTTTCAAATCTTTGCTTCACTACTTAAACCCACATCCTTTCATCCTTCCTCTAGCTCTTTCAGAACCCTCCATTTGCATCATATTACTCTTCACTGGTGTTCTCTGTGCAAGACATGATCAATCCTCTACCTTCCAACAGCATCATAACCACACGATTTATTACATATAAAATATAAAAAAATAGTACCTGGAAATAACAACATGAAAAGGATTTTGAGAACCCAACCAAGAAGAAAATCCAATATATTTCAATAGATAGAACAAATGATGAAATGATGGATAAGATAGAAGCCCAAGCAAAGTTGGATGGAATGATGAATGACTTAGGGCTGCTGTGCCAAACTGTAGACAGATCATATGCGCGATCAAACTGCTATAAAAATGAATTGATAATTGGATAAAGCATTAAAAATAAATAGGTTGGAAAGAATAATGCACCATCTGTCCTTGCTTGGCACTTTTCTTTATCTCCACAATAAGCTTCTTCTCTTGTGATTGCAGCCCTTGTCTCTCCCTTTCAATTTCTCTAATGGATTTGTCTAGCATCCTCTTATTTTCCCGCAGAAGCTCTACAAAATACAACCATTATTAAAGGTGCTCATGTAGGTGACTATCTCACGTCTAGGCAGGAACTGAAACAAGAATAGCAAGGATGAATCAAAGTAATGATCTAGATTCTCGTGGACCTCCATGTAGTTGATCAAGCAAATGCCCAATTGACTCTATAGTCTTATTAAGTGTCTGGTTGTCGCTTTACATTTTACAATAAATTACCTCCTACAAAATTTGAGTAAAAATCATGCTCTAATCTACCAACATGATCTAGAGTTCATTTTACAGCATTAGAATATCTTTTCCGTTTTTATGTTTAACAATTATTGGATCACAAAATCGTGTAACCCAATGATAGAATATCGTATTGTGCAAGATTTTGCATAAATACAATGTATGGTTTATCATACTCAGGAATCTAATTGTAGAAGAAAAGCGACAGAAAAATACGATATACCAAAGTTTGACTAAATTTGACCACCACTGGCTTCAAAAAAAAAAAAAAAAGACTAGATTTGACCACGATTACTTTGGTTAGCCTCATAAAGTCCTTTTGAAACTTATGATAATTAGCATAAAAGTTCTATCAAAACTTTATACATATAAATAAACCGAAAGAAAAAATAAATGTGGTTTAGGAAACTGGAAACCCTAAGTTTCGTTGGCGTAATTGATAAAATATCGAACTTGATCGCTTTAATGCCCTTTGATCCTAGCGATGATTAAAATTTCTCTGTAATTCAGTTCAAAGGGGCCCTCTTGATTTAAAATATGTATGAGCTAAAATTACAGAAATTTTAACCGAAAAAAGTTGTGAAAAATGGATTGAGAATGAACATTCAAGCCAAATAATAAAATATAAAAAAAGAAACCAAGTATAGCACAATCGAAACATATACCTGCGGGGGTTTTCCTCTTGCCAAACAGGAAACTCATCTTGTTCTAGCGAAGTAGCGATGCTATAACGTGCCCAACTGCAATGAAAATATCGTTCTGGTACGATCGTATGCGCTATGCAGCAAAGCTCTCTTTGTATCTCCCTCTTTCCCTCTTTCTCTTATCCAACACATAATCATCGTCTTTTAAAATCAGAGAAGGTTGCTTCCATCACCCGACTTTCTTTTGTTTTATTTGTTATTAGTTGTTAACTTGTTAAGCGGCATCGTACTCGTAAAGTCGTAGCTGAAGCCTGAGGGAAAAACAGAACCCGGAAGGGAAATCTTTAGCTGTTTGGCTGTTTGCTATAAAAACCCTAAAAACAGCAGCCTGGGCTGTTTCCTGTTTGTGTTTGGGTGGCTGGCTGCCGGGCTCAGTCCTCAGTGGCTCTAGTCTTTATTGACACGTGGAAAATACAGTTGGACCCACCTTGCCCGCGCATTTGGAATTTTGGATTCGACCCGTTAAGCCTTTCAATTTCAGCTCGGGAGTCACGGATCTTCCGATATCCATGACTGATGACTCCGTTTTGTAATCTTACCGAATATCAACGGTAGGATAGGAATGGTAATTTTCCCAGTTTTGTGGATTGGGGACAGACAGAGAGGGATGATTTTCTCCCCACAGGGATCAGGGATGGGATGGAGAAATCTTCTTTTGTATTGGTTGGGATGGGAGAGCACTCCCTGCCCCAAGGGTCCCCTGATCCATCCTGTGGAGAGAACACTCTTTGTTGAGTATTTATGTTTTTATCATGAATTAATCAATGAATTTATGTTAATATCTTTAAAAAATATAGTTGAATATATTTTATTTTAATTTTTTAATAAAATATAAATAAAAAATAGAATGAATTTGATATCATTAAAAACACATTTGGTGGGGAATGGAGATCCCTGTGGGATGGGGAAATCCCTATCCTCGTTGGCTCTCGTCCCTGTCTCATTTCGTTGCCATTCCTAACAGCAAGTAAGCTCAAGCTTTTACTTTTTACTTTTATTATTGTTATTATTTTTTTTTTATCTTTCTAAGCAGTCTCCAATATTGAGTTTATCAAGAGAGAGTAGTTCATGAACTAGTACTACTCACTAGAGCTCACATGTGATATAAGAGGTGCAAATGGGCTAGGATGGGCCAATAAGATTTTATAGCCTATCGGCTTATTGGTCTTTCTTGGATGAGCTGTGGGGACCATAGGCTGGAGATGTGCCTCCTCACAAACTGCTATTGAAATGGATTGGCCTAAGCTAAATTAGACTGCCCCAATGGACCCTGATATGCAACTCATAAGGGGGCTGGACCGACCAATTGGGACAAATTTTTCTATGTACACGATGGAGAGAGAGAAAGTAGAGTCCTTTAGTTTTAGTGGATAATGAACAACCCATTGGGCTGGCTCAGATTGATTTTGCCAGCAATTAATGGGTAGATCGATCTTGGGCCCTATTCCACTACTATAAAAGTGGGCCGGGATTTCTTTAGTTTTTCCAACGCTAGGACAGGCCCATTTGGGCGGGCTGTTTAAGACGTAGGCAGAAGCAGGCCTTAACTCATCCTGATCCCTCTCTGCAACCTACTTATAATGTTAAAAATCATGAATGGATTTTCTCTCCGGATGCTATATGTTTCTTCGTGTATGCAGAATGCAGACGACCAAGGGTCGTTAGGAGAAAGAAACTGAGCCAAATGGGCTAACTGCTAAGCACATCCACCCTCAGTCTGACCATAACCGGGATGATCATAAATATCACATGTATGACAGATGGTTTATGTGTATGTAAAGTAAAAATATTGTTGCGTTTATATTTTCATTCTTTGATATGACACAGCAAAGGCATTTTCTCTTGGAGAGTGCATGAAAGCATGAGAGAGATTTTGTGATTTGAACAATAGTCCTTCTTCTGCTGCAACAACTTTCAATCCCTGTTGTTGTTGTTACAATTTCAGAAGTTGAATCCAAAGTTCGATTAAATACAGGTTAAAGTGCCGATATTGATATTTTATCTTTCTAATATATCCTGATCAGTCTTCTGAATCTGAAACAAGAACAGGCATCAACTCGCTGATGTGGGGATCGAGTGAGGTCCGGTTAGGGTTGGGGAGAGCATTTATCCAATTTTAAATGGGTCGGAGGCCCCATGTAGATGTAGTTGTCATTCTTTAAATAAGTTCAGCCACTTCAAAGCGTTATCAAAATGGCTCTTAATTCTTAAACTCCCAACTCCATTGACACAATAATATCACGGACACGGTGGTGCCAAAATCTTGTGCTGGTTGCGCCTGTGGGACCTATCGTCTTGACTCTTAAGAGTTGAGACTGAACCAAGGGTATTGATAAATAGTCCAGCCCACACAACCAGAAAATAAAAGGCCTCGGGTATAAAGATGGGCCTAGATGGGCCAGGCTTGTCAAGAGCCGGTTACGCTAGCCATATGTCCTTGGGATTTGTTACGAAATTCCTTAGGAAAATAAAAGGCTATATTTGGTTTGGTTGAAAATAAGAGAAACAGAAAATTGAGGGAAAGTAAGTTGTAAAGAAAATTGCCAAAATTCCTTACGAAACCAAGCACAACCTTAGTGTAGTCTGTTTGATTTGCCTTTTGAGGTAGTGGCTAGTGGGGCGGGAGGAGTAATAGTTAGCGGCACAAGTGATCCCCATTCCCCACCCAGCTAAACCGGCATCAGCAAATCTGTAACTTTGGTTGCCTTCTCCAGATATCCTCCTCATTTGACTGCATTTACTGGAGGAGTGGAGCCAACGAAAAGAAAGAAACGGTCAAAAGCGCAACTCAATGAGGATAGCTAGCTTCAGTCCCTAACCTCTCTCCATGTTTCCTTTGTCGTCGTACGTTCTTAAGCTGAGGCTGAGGGGATATTCCTTTCCCACTCAGGCTTCTCGCGTCAACATTGAATGAAACCCTAAATATTGGATCGAAGACATGCCAAAATGGATAAGCAACTAGTAGAGGTGCCAGCCAGCCACCATTAGCCCATTAGGCATTAGCATGAAACTGAAAGTAGTAGTGGTGGCGGGTGAGTTTCTCACTAACTTCAACTTCTTCCTTCATTAATTACTGTTTATCTCTCTTACTTCTTTCCTCTACTCATCAACTATTCATTTACTACGCACAAAAAGCAAAAAGAAGCAAGCAACTCTTTTTCAACCCTTTGATTGGTGTCTACATTATTGGAGAGATATCGATCTGCTACGCCCATTGGCATAGCCTTGGACTACAGCCGTAAATCACAGCCCCGGTTGCATTGATGTATGATGTATCCCCACCACCTTGAATTGGATGAAATGATGTTAAGGTGGGGCCTCAAATCAAAAGGCCATGATTCCAAATCTACGCCCTTAAGCGTAGCAGATTTCAGTTCACCTCTCCAATCATTCATTGTGATTTGTGGCTGCTCCTATTTCAAGTCTGATACTTGATGAACAATGCAAGCACTAGATGGCATTTCTACAATAGATATAGGGGAAGGAATAAATAATTAATGTCATAACCCCAGTGGCATTATACTCATTATGGTGCAGACGTAACATCTCAACTGATGGATACAGGGTGGCCCAGCTTTGGAAACCCAAGCTAGTGCCATTTTAGTTGGACCAGGCCCTGGCCCTGGCCCTGGCCCTGGCCCTGGCTTGATTGAATTAGTTGACGATAGAATCAAGACATAACTATTCAAGGCCAAACCTCATTTTAAAAAGTGTTGGCTCCTTGTTTATTGCCTTTGAATCTTTGAACTTGGACATATATATATATATATATATTACTTCCAGCTGCCTCCCTCATTTTATAGTTAGTTTTCTAGCATTATTTAGTAATGCCAGAAATTTGGAGTTTGAGCAAAATATCCCCCCCCCTACCACCACCACCACCACCACACCCACACAAAGAGAGAGAGAGAGAGAAGAAGGCTTCGTTCATTCTTATCCATGGATCTGGTGGACCTAACAGCTAGTGCAGGATCACATTGGCCCATTAAGGGATAGTGTCAAATAATTCTTTGAGATGAAAGGACCACATTGCCCTCAGCACTTGCGCAACTGAGGATTTTAGCTAGGAAGAAAAGATAGCTCAGAGGGAGCCAGTTGCAATGTCTTATGTTAAGTAGGAAAGCAATGAAATTGGCAATTGGCCATTGGCAAAGCAAATAGTAGTAGTATTAGTAGAAGTGCACATTTTTTTTGTTCAAACCAGACAAGTGAAAAAAGTAGATTGTTCCGATCAAATATAATCATGCCTCCCTTTCTCTTTGTGAGAGGCAAACGAAAAAAGAAAAGCTGTTACACACACATGTACACAATTTAGTTTCTTTAGCTTCTGCTCTTTCTCTCCTCGGGATCGCCAACTGCCCCATGCCTTTCTTCTCTTTTACTCTTCTAGCTTAGCTTCTTTAACAAAAGCTGCCCACGTCGGCCCCTTCCCACGGCCTCGATGGGCCACCACTCTCTTGTTCAGTAATTAAAACTTAAAGAGCATTCACTCTTGTGGGGGGACCCGTATTGAACTAGACTAGACCTTTTTTTTTTTTTTTCTCTTTTACTTAAGGCCAGGCAAATGCAAAAAGGTTTATTGTCCTTTTTATACACTGGTGAAGAACATACTAAGGTCATAAAACGAACTTAAGCGGATCCATGAATATCTCCACTATTCAATTCCCCTACTACCCAATATATAAAATTCAAAAAGAAAAAGGAAGAAAGAGGGTAACCTGGTCACCAGTCACCACAAGAGCAAAAGCTTTCTTGTGACGAGCACTCTGCTTCAAGAAGAAAGAGCACTCTCATATCTTGTATATACATGTAGTGAAAACGAGAAAGTATTTGTTACATCCTTCCCATTGTTATTTTTAGTTTATTTTTACAGAGAGTGATATAATGGAGCTCAAACCGAAAATCTAAGGCTGCAATGTAAACGTAATTCTACCTTCTTTTGTGAATGAAAAAATTGTAGCAAGAGAGAGAGAGAGAAAAAAGGCGAGGAACAACACAACAACAATGGAGTGGGGTGGGGGAGTGTGGGGGGGCTTTTTTCATTCAAAGACGGAAGTCGGAGACTGACTACTCAAGCTCAACCTCACACAAACGCACACAAAGGTCTACGGATGAAACCAACAACATAGGTTTCATAGTTCATACCGGATGAAACAACATGACGTGGATGGACAATTATCAAGGCGCTACGTGTCAAGGAAACGAATGATGATGTAGATGTGTTAGGGAGGAAAAGGGCGCAGTCTGCTTACCTTATAGGAGAAACTGGTGTGTGTGTGTGTGGG